TAGCTTCTATATAAAAAGATATTGCTGTTGTACAGGATATTCAATATATTCCAGCTTGATGTTATTATTTTTAAATCTGTCGAAAGCCATTCTCTCAGATTTTGATACTTTATTACATATAAACACCTATTTGAACTTTTAAATTTAAACTTTATTGATAAAAATTGTAATGTCAAGTAGTAATTTTCATATCTTCGAATAACTAAATCTTTTCTCTTTCATATGATATAAATTTTATGAGGAAATACTTTAATTTGTGATTTTAAGATATTTCCTAAAATATAAAATTTTAAATTCTGTTTATTTTTAAATTTGATTGCCAGACATTGTTGAATCACCCTCGTGAAGAATAATAGCGTATGCAAAAAAAATTAAATTTTATAGGAAATAAATACTTTATAACGTTGCGCGCCTCCAACTTGCACGCAACCAAGAGGTGACTGTGAAAACTTGTATAAAAGATAGAAGCTTGTGAAGGGTTTAAGTCCCTTTTTATTCAACGTAATAAATTACAATTGCGTTCTCTTGACGCTTACAGACGGTGCCAACTTGGCAGTCAAATAAAAATAATAACCTGAAAAGAAAATAAAGACAAGATTCTAACTACGAGGCTCTCTAAAATAACTAACTCACCGCGTTTTACAATACCGCTGCTAATTCAGCAGACTTGAAGCTCACTGGAACAATTTCCACTACTTCCCGCCAAGCACATAGGCCGCAACGCGGGGTTCTTCAATTCTCGCTAACTCCCTCCGCGCTCGCTAAGTAAGAATCTCACACCGAACTCGTTTCCTTCTATTTAAATCAGAATACTTCCGCTGATAATTTGAATCCTTGCGCGTTCTACTCAAATTTACATATTCTGGCATTGGCAATTCCCTTGACCTTAGTTAGTTAAAATAAATATAAACCCTACAACTTTATGCTTAGTTTCTTCACATTAATAATTTATTTAATCATAATAAACCTTTTGAAAAAGGATCTCAACAACTCCACTTACTAAAAAAATATTATCATTAAGATTAATAAAGTTTATACTTATCTAGCTTTCAATTTCCCTGTAAAACTTCTTTTCTAGCATCGTTATTACCTTGAGTGGTACCATTTATCATTATTTCATCCCTTTTTGAGTATTAGTTTGACTATATATTTTGTAATGGTTTAAAGTAGGATTAATAAGAGTTATTATTTAACTATGGCAGCTACGAAAAACACAGAACACCATAAGCCACCAGGTGTGGATAGCGGTAGGTCTTCATTTTTAACTCCACATGCAGAAAGATCTATTTCAGCACATTCAAAATCACATTTTAGTAATACACATGGAGATATATCAGATCCAGTTATAACAGATAGTACTGCTAAGGACGTTAGCGTTAAAGTTTCAAATGGACAAGATTGTAATCCTCCTAATTTTACTTCCAAAGACTCTTGTTCCAGTGAATTTACTGATTCTGCATTTGAATGCTTAGAAAATTTAGAGGGTATCCTTTCTCGAGAGAATATTTCAAAGAAACTCTCTAAGACACTAAGATCTTATTTCTTGGATATTTTCAAAATTGTAACAAAACAAAATGCAGTGATAGCGCAACTCCAAGGACAATTGGAACAATCACAAAACATAGAAAACTATTTGCAAGGTTTAGCGGAGGTAAAAAAAGCAATGGAATTATTCGAGAGACTTATGCAGAGAAGGCTGCAAAGACAGTGCACGAAAGAAGTCGATCAAAATCTAGACATAAAGGCCAGAGCGAAGCGAACATATCCTGCTGGTTTACCCAAAAGAGGATGGATCAACATCAGAGAATACAAAGAAAAAATTGAAAAGTATAAAGCAAAATAACTAAAAAGTCCTGCAAAACTCAAAATACTCATGCAAAAAAAAAGTTCAAAAGTTTCGCCCAAGCTTTGAAGCCACCACAGACACCTATTCTACCTAATCCTTCAATCAGTTTAAAGGAGTGTGTCATAAATAAGTGTCAGGAAAATTCGCAAAGGAGACATTCTATTTCAAACCAATAAAGAGGAAGAACTTAAAATTCTGGAGGATGCAATTAAAAAAAATGCAAAATTAAGAACTTGGTTGAACCAAAACTACCGACAAAAATTAATCCTAAAATTATAATCTACAATGTAGAGGAAGGTTTTAAGGAAGAGAAAATTGCTAAACTTCTAAAAAACACAGAATCATGAGCTACGTGATGCGACCATGGAAATTAAATTCAAAATGAAAGGTCAACATGGATATAATTGGGTTCTCTCACTTGACCCCACAGCTTTTAAGTCGATAATGCAATCTCAAAAGGTTAATATTGGTTGGACAAGGAAAAACATTCGTGAGTATATCCGAGTAATTCAATGCAAAAAATTGTTTAGAATTTGGTCACACAAAAAGATCTTGTACAAGAGAACAAAGATGTTTCAAATGTGGTAAAAGAGGACACCTTAACAAAGAATGCAATTTTCCGCAAGAAAAATGTGTCAACTGCAAGCATGCTAATAAGCATTATCATTTGAATTTGGATATCAATCATAGTAGTGTAAGTAAAAAATGTGTGCAAGTAAGCAAAGAGAAATGGATCTGTTAATTAAAAAGATTAATTATGGATATAGTTAAAATAACACAGTTAAATTTACAGCACTCACGGAGTGCAAGTGCACAATTAAAAGTTGACATTGAAAATATTCCAAATTTAAAAATAGCTTGCATACAAGAACCTTACCTTATTAAAAATGCGGTAAGTGGATTTCCACAAAGATATAGGATCTATTCTCACCAAATACAAGCAAAAGCTGCAATAATTGTGAAAGAGGGCTCTTTTTCAATCATTCAGATTTTCACAACGGAGGAAATAACAGTAATCAAAGTAGAAGGATCGCCCAATTTTATATTAATCTCGGTCTACTGTCCACCAAGCACAGAAATTGATCCAATATTAATTACATTAGAGGGAATAAATGATGCAGGCGATCTCCCAATAGTTATCTGCGGCGACTTTAATTCAAAACATAGTATGTGGGGTCCAGTACCAACAAACCGTCGTGGAACAAGAATGGGAGACTTTCTGGCAACAACTAATCTCACAGTTATTAATGAACGAAATAGCCCCCCGACATTTGTAGGTCCTCTGGGAAATTCATGGATTGACTTAACTCTCCTCAAAGGGCTACAAAGTTTAAAAATAGAAAATTGGGAAGTTGATCCGAGAGACACGTTAAGTGACCATAAAGCAATTAATTTTGAAATTCACATGGATATGAGGCCTTCTTCTCAAAAACTCAAACTGAGAATTGAAAACTCTCAATGGCTTACATTAAGGCAGGAGATAACAGATCTTTCTTGTTCAGAATTTAATTTGAATTCTGATGCAGAAATTAATTCTACAATTAAAGAAATTTCAGAAAAATTAAAGACGCTCTTTAAACAACATTTAAGGCATTTACCATCTAATAAAACACACAAAACTACAAAAACTTGGTGGAGCCATGCTCTCACACAGGAAAGAAGACAACTAAAGAAATTGCGCAAAAAACTATCAAAATGCAAGGAATCAAGATAGGAAAGATAAACGTCAAATCTACAATAAAGCAGCGGCGGCTTATAAAAGAAATAATGCCAAATTACAGGCTTGGGAGAATTATTGGGAGAATTTAAAACTGAAATCTCCCTTTAATACTTACTACGATATAGTTAAAGGCAAGGGATATAAAGCACTTAAACTCTGTAAAATTAAAAGGACAGATGGTAGTTGGGACTAACACAGTTGGAGATACTCTACGTTATATCATTTTTGTTCACTTCCTTCAGGACAACACTGACGATGATAAGGAAGAACACAAGAGAGATAAGAAATCGTTCTATGATAACTCCAGACGCAGACGATGATCTCCCAATAACTACCCAAGAAATAAAAAATATCATCAAATCTACAAAAAGAGGAAAAGCGCCGGGGGACGATGAACTTTCCATAGATGTTGTAGAGAAAGTCTTTATTGCTAATCCAAATCTAATGACTCGAATTATGAACAGATGTTTAGAAATTGGTTACTTTCCAGAAGAATGGAAGATTGGTAATTTTGTCTTTTTTCAAAAAGAAGGGAAAGATGTTACAAATCCCAATGCCTACAGACCCATTTGCCTTTTATCGGCTTGGGGGAAGATTTTAGATAAGCTTATTGCACGACGACTAACTCATTTTTTGATTGCAAAGAAAATACTCAATAGCCAACAATATGGTTTCACAACGGGTCGTAGCACAATTGATGCAGTAAATAACCTAGTTAATGAAATTCATAACAATAGAATAAACAATCTTCATACTTGTGTTATTTCTTTAGACGTTGCATCAGCGTTCAATAACCTTTGGTGGCCTGGATTGCTATCAAGGTTAAATGAAGTCAAATGTCCAAGAAATCTTTTTCGCATAATTCGAAGTTATTTGAGTAACCGAAAAATACAATATAAAAGAGATGGAGTCAATATCTCACATTCTTATCAGAAAGGGGCACCTCAAGGTTCCAACCTAGGGCCCACTTTATGGAATATTTTGGCTGATACAGCTTTAAATTTAGAATTTGACACAGGCGTAAAAATTCAAGCATATGCTGATGATTTCTTAGTCATCATTTCTGGTAGCAACAGCTTGCGAATTGAAGAAAAGGCTCATAGAGCTTTAGAAAAACTTAAGTACTGATGCAACAAATATCAATTTATTTTAGTATTGATAAAACCAAATTACTTTTGCTTCCTAAAGGCACTAATTACATAGATCGCCTTCACGTATTAAATGGGACAACATTACCATCTCAAGAAGTTTTACATTAAAATACTTGGGTTTTATTCTTGATCAGAAACTCACATGGATTACACACTTAGTACATTTAAAGGAGAAAACAAAATTTAATTCATAAACTAAATCGGATCATTTCTCAAAACTGGAGAAAGAAAGGAAAATTATTTAAAATACTTTATATCAGAGCTATCGAGCGATTAATACTTTATGGGTGTCCCGTGTGGTTCACGGGAAACCGTACGCCAAAAGCAAAAACTTTCACAAATACAAAGGTCAGTTCTTTTATGTATTACCAAGTGTTATTCAACATCTCCCACATCAGCTCTGCAAGTTCTCTCGGGCCTTATGCCTTTAGACATAAAAGCTGAGATGGAGAGAAAATTCTTTAGACTAATTCATTATAAGGAAAACTTGGAAATAAGCAATCTTGTTATATGGTACAATACCTTAGAAGAAAGAGTCCCGCACTTCCACACGCACCCTGCTCATCAAGACATACTTCCCTGGCATAAAAATACTCCAACACAGAAAAATATCGAAATCTTTACAGATGGATCTAAGATTGGTAAACATGTAGGTGCGGCTTTCGTTATGTACAACAATGGGCACGAAGTTCATTCAGAAATTTATAGATTAAATGATACGGCTTCCGTGTTCCAAGCAGAGGTTCTTGCTTTAAAAAAAGCACTCATCTGGATAGGTTCCACAATAACTGACAACATTCCTATTCGTATTTTTACAGATAGTCGTAGTTCCCTTCAAAGTTTAAATAGTGATAAAATTACGAAAAGAAGCATTCTTAGCTTAAAGGAAATCATAAAAACTCTTTTAGATTCCCATTCTCTAGAGCTTAATTGGATTAAAGCTCACATTGGAATCGCAGGAAACGAAAGAGCAGATTCCGAAGCAAAAAGAGCAACACAACAAGATTAGATAGATGTTGAAGTGCCACTTTCAGAGATTTCGGCCCAAACATCAAATCCTGCAAGAATCGCTTAAAACATGGCAGAAAAGATGGGATGAAGACTCTACAGGACGTTCGACTTATGCTTTTTTCCCACAAATTTCTTTCTCTCTTAAACAATCAGATCACATTTTAAATCAAGTCTTGACAAATCATGGTAAATTTCCGCAGTATATGCAAAGATTTCATAAAAAGAACACATGTGGCTGTGAGACAAGTGGAGAGCTTGCAGGAGCTCTCCATTACATCACGTCTTATCCAATAACAGTAAAAGAAAAAAACACCTCTTTTTCCGTCACCATTGCCTTGACTGGAAATATTTGGCAAAAATGCAATTCTACTCTTAATGCCATGAAGTCAATTATGCAACTTATACATGTAAATGACTCAGACTTTATTGTTTATCGTTAATCCTACAATGTTTATGTCATTCTGATTGTTATTTTTCTTCCATTCACTTCAATGTAATGCTCATTTATTTAGTCACTGTAGTAGTGGTTTACTGTATACACCTGCAGCAAATTGTATATCTGTTTATAAGTTTCTTTGAATTTTTCTATTATTTTGTTATTATTGTTATTTTATTATTTATTTATTTTTGTTATTATTATTTATGTTTTGTATTTTTATTTGTTATTATTGTGATTTATTATTTTATTGTTATGATTATTATTTTGTTTGTATATATGTTTATTTTAATTTTACTCTGCTTTAATTAATTGTTCATTTATGTAAAAAGTTTTTTTTTTTCTAAATTACGCTAGCATTGTAACTTCACTGGCTGTCCCTTCACTTCCTGTTTTAGCCGTCATGACTTCCCCCTTTTTTGTTTTAAGTTTACAAAGCTTTATCTTTCCCTTTCGCCGTTTAGCCTTCCCTCTCAGCCCCTTTTAGTCGATAGGCTTTGCTTCATTTCGCCTGTTCCCCTTCTTTTTAGCCGTAATGGCTCTCCCTTTCTTAGACTAGTTTTAGCTTTTTGCTTCTTTCCTTTTTAGCCGAAAGGCACCCCCTCCTCTTTTAGCCGATTTTCTTTTCTTTTCTTTTTTTATTTATTTATTTTTTTAGGCTCTTTTGCTCAGCTGACGTGCTCTGCCTTGTTTTAATCTATTGGCTTTTGCCCACTTTGGTAGTTAGCACCTGTCTCCTCCTGCCTAATTCGGAGTGAGATAACGGAGTGGTTAGAAGCATGGATTCAAGCCCACTTACTGGCAGCAATCGTTACACTTTACCAATCGTTTTGTAACAATTAGAATCGTTACAAAACACCGCAGTTGCTTTCAGTAGCAGGAGCGGTTATAAGAGTTTGTTGTTGTTATATCCTATTTAATGTAATGAATGAATTTCAAAAAGAAATTGGTACTAATATTTCTACCATTATACAAACTTTCAAAAAACATATGCATCAGCTTAAACAGGCTGGCACCTACATGGAGAAAATTTATATTTTGTATTTAGTCCTCGAGGAGGTCAACGGATTAGGTATACATAATTAATAATGTATAGTACACCTAAGATTGTAACATGGAACTCAAATGGTCTTGTGCCAAAATTACATGAGTTGCAAATTTTTATAGATCAGTACAGTCCTGATATCTTACTGCTACAAGAACACAAGCTTAGTCCCAGTTACTCCTTCACCATTGCTAACTATGCACAATATAGATGGGACAGAGGCAGAGACAGAACTAACAGAAGTCCTGGAGGGGGGCCTTATTATTCTAATTACGCACATCATTGCTCCCTACCACAATACATTGCCACAGCTTTTAGCCTTAGAGGCCCTAGCTATCACTGTCACACCACTCACCTCACCACCAATCACTATTATCTCCTCGTATGTGCCACCAACCCATAGATCACGAGGGATTATTTTGCAAGACTTTGAAGCTTTATCTCATATCAACAACTGAATCATCTTTGCAGGAGACTTTAATGCACACCACCGCGAGTGGAACTGCACAAATGACACTTTCCTAGGAAGTGTAATATCTCGATTTACCCACGCGGCCGGTATTACCATTGCAGCTGCACAAACCCCAACACGTTACAGCAGTGCTTCAGCATCAGTGCTGGATTTCTTCATGTTAAGAGGCTGTGCGTCGAGACATGTTGAAACTCTAAATGAACTATCCTCAGACCCTAACCCAGTTATCATTGAGCTTGATGTCTCTGTTCGTAACACACCACCCAGTAAGGCCTTTATCACTAATTGGTCTGGTTACATCAAAACTTTAAACAACACTGCATTATTTATACCAACACCACAGACGAGCAATATGAGTTAGATGACTTAATTAGTACTTTCACTTCAGATCTGCAAACTGCCCTACATCAAAACAGCACTTCTGCCTCCAGCCGCCCCAAAAAGTGCAGCAAAGTGCTCATCAACTTAATCAAAAGAAGAAATGCTGCTCGGAGACAGTGGCAGAGATCTCGCTACCCTCCAGATAAAGTTCTGCTCAATCAACTTAACCGGCAAGTCAGGTTCCTGACACAACAACATGCAGACAGAGACTGGGCAAATTATGTATCCTCCTTATTAAGGGAAGATAACACTTTTTGGAAAGCCACCTCCAAATTTAAAAGATGCTACACCAACATTCCGGCCTTGAATGGCCCTGATGGAATCGCTTACACAGAGACTGAGAAAGCTGAGTCGCTGGTCGATCACTATGCTACTCAGTTCTGCACTAACACCATTTCACACCCACCCACAGAAAACGTAGTCACTTTCCAATTTTCCACCACAACCACACGCAAACAACACTCCTCCAGTCTAGCTTGAGGAAGTCTATGACTATATCGAGAAACTGAAGACCAGAAAGAGCCCTGGACTAGACCAAGTACCGAACAAGATACTAAAAAAGATGGGTTTACACATGCTGCTGAAACTGATGAAGATTCTAAACTGCATGCTAAAGCTGGGTCACTTCACTTCATCCTGGAAAGTCGCAGTTATACCACCACTTCTGAAACCTGGTAAACCCCCAGACGACCCTGTCTCTTACCGGCCTATCAGCCTCTTACCATCACTCAGCAAGGTCGCCGAGCACATAATTCTGGAAAGATTGCTCAGCTACGTACATAAAAAAGATACTCATCAATGAGCAACACGGCTTCAGGAGGAAGCACTCTATAGTACGTCAATTGTACAGAGTAACCGAGATTATCTCAAGTGGCTTACAAGACAACACCACCACTGCTGCTCTGTTTCTCGATGTAGCCAAGGCGTTCGATCGTGTCTGGCTTGGAGGCTTACTCCACAAACTTATCACCCTGGGTATACCAGGCTACATCACAAACATCTTACGCTCTTACCTTATAGGTCGACAGTTCGTCGTTCGTGTCAACAACACACTATCCACTCCTAGACCAACCCAAGCTGGGGTCCCCCAGGGGTCCCTTCTTGGGCCCCTTTTATTCAATCTTTATACTAACGACATCCCATAGTCACCGCACACCACTCTTGCACTATATGCAGATGACACTGCGATTCTCTCACAAAATGCATCTTTCAGCTCAGTCGTTTCAACACTACAAAACATTCACTCACTGGAATCCCGGCTACACGCCTGGAAAATCCAAATAAATGTGCAGAAATCAGATGCCATGCTATTCACAAGAAGAAGAAAGGATATCAAACTTGAAGTTCAACTCCAAATGTATGGAGAGTCAATCCCCTGGACTAAGCACACCCATTACCTAGGCGTTGTTATTGATGATCAACTCACATCGTCCCCACACATTACACATATACTCTCTGAGTTCCGAGTACGTAAAGGAAACTTTCCCCCTAATTGCTCGGAACTCTGCGTTATCCCTAGAATGCAAGTTACTGATCTATAAAACCCTTTTGCGTCCCATGCTTACTTATGGCTGCCCTGTCTGGGGATATGCCTGCCAAACAGCAATTAATAAAATTCAAGTTACCCAAAATGTTGCTTTGAGAGAGTTGGCCAAAGGCCGCTGGTTTATCAGAAACTCGGCTATTCATCGTGAATTAAAAGTACCTGAAATTCAGTTGTACATGACCAAATTGGCAAAAAAATTCTATGACAACATCTGTAATGTGCAGAATCCCACCATTCCCATCTTGTATTATATGAAACTGTTAGTAATGTCAAAAAAAAAAAAAAAAGACCTCGAGCAGTGCTCAAGCTCCTCTCTTAAATTCTTCTTGTATATATTGTACATATTTTATACATTTTTACATTTTTCATAATCGTATTTACCCTTTTATTATACTGTGTATTATTTGTGTATGTACTTACTGCTGCACTCTTGTGCATTGTGCTACTATTTTATGTAAACAGATAATTGTGTAAGACTTAAGTTTGGCAATTTTAACGCATTTCTTTTACGCGCACTTACCTCGTATTTTTTACACTTCTAAGCGTTAAGCGTCACGACAGTTTTAGCTTCTGGATTCTCCCGGCACACCAAACTGTTTATGAACTTATTTGCATTATATTGCACCTATGGCATCTTTTTCGCCACTTCACCCCAAGTTATTTTATGGACCTTTTCTCAAAAATTCGAGCTTTGTACATGTTAGAAAATCGGCATAAAATTATCCTCGGGGTAGCGCTCCTGCGCGAGCACCTGTATTGCAAGCAAACGCTTTGCCTCAGACGCCTTTCAGGCCAGAGGTTTTAGTCCTCTTTGAAGCTAATACGTATTGTAGTTTTCCGCAGTTTGCGTACTACATGCGTAATAATTTAAAAGGCCAGTCTTAGTGTTAGTCATTTGTGCAGTTTTCAAAGTTAACTCTTATTTTTAGTTAGTTAGCAGTTCGCAGATTTTTACGTTCAGACCATAAGTGTCTTTGCATCCCAAAGTGCGGGAGCGCCTGTAATATCGTGGAAAATAAAGGGTAATGAAACCCTTCTCATCTTTTTGCCTCTCCTACTCTCCATAGGATATAGTTTGTAGTCAAACTCACTGTTTAGTCAAGACACGTTACGTTCGC